AAATTAAAAAAAATTTTTTTCATAATGTGCTCTTCGGTGAAATTGTGTTTTTAATGATTAATCAGTTTAAAATCATCCTATCAGTTGTGAAAATGTAAACTCGCTGAGGTAAATAACACTGAAAATATGATTAATATTGATGTATTTGTCTTTCCAGAGACAGAAGAAAAACAAGCCTGTGTGGCTGCTCTTGGTTAAAGTGAAATAAATCATAATTGTACAGGAGTATTCAGTACTAGCCTTTGCCAAGGTTAAAATAGCGACGTATAAAAGCTCACACGACCGTTTAATAGTTTCCCAGATCTATAATGTTTACCTAACAAGCAGCATCTTTTAGCCCTTTCAATACGACGGTGTCTGAGTGACTGTTGCTCTGAGGACAGCGCCCTGTCTCTCAGTTTGCCAGTGAAGGCTTATTCATACAGAATTCTCTCCACCACTGCTTCGATGCTGTAAATCCTCTTTCAGGTGACCCTGAACCAGCTCTTAGTTTTCGGCCCAGACAGCTGGATCGCCTTCACTCTCCATGCATTCATCTCCCACGATTGCATGTCATTAGCTTTGCATCATTTCTCAGCGTTATGTATTCATTTTTCTGTCTGCAGGTATTTTGGTTCAGTAGCTACACTTCCCTGTACGTGCTCACCGGCCTCCAGTCTCTCCAGAGCTTATTGTTGCTTATCGTAACCCTGATTGTTGTTTCCTTCTCTCTCTTCGCTTTAACTCACCTCAGCCGCTGAAGGCAGGCAGCTGCCTCCCCGAGTCTGGTTCCTCCCATTAAGAAATGCCACCAGCATTGCTCAGAGGTAACTGTTAGATTTGTTGGTTTTCTCTCTCTTGTGTTGTGAGATCTTGGCCTTTCTGTGCCCTGGATGATTTATGTTGTCACCATAGAAATGAAACTGTATTGGATCACTCAGAGAACCTCTTTGGAAGAGAGAGTTTTTCTTTTCCTAACTGTGGTTCACCCGCGACCCTAGTGAGGATTAAGCGGTGTATAGATAATGGATGGATGGATGGATAACTCTGGTTCACAGCTTCCTCCTACATCACAAAGAAGAATCTTAGGATTTGTTGTTGTCGTCCTGGCCCAGGCTGCTTTATCTCTCCATTCAGCTGCTTCCAGCTGGCTCTGCTTTTAACACCTCTTCTTAACTTCCTCCAGCTTGTTGACCTCTTTTCAGGATTTTCCAGTGGTGGCTGTCATGGTATTGCTGACCAGCCTGAGGGTTCGGGTGGCCTGAGTGGATGCTGCGTTCTCTCCTTTCCGTCGTCTCTCTGGTACAGTCTGTTCATTCTGACCACAGAAACCTGCTCTCGTCCTGCTCTGTCCTTCACTGTTTCTGACTGAAACGTCTTCTTGTTCAGTCGCAGACAGCTTTAGAGGATTAATTGAAAGAATAAATCTGTTGACTTGACATTACAAAGCAACAGATTTCTTCAGTGGTGCCCAGCCTGCAGATGGTTTTCACTCTCCGTTATCCCAGTTCTGGGACAGGATGCGTTTTAGATTCTTGCCATCATCACAAAACAACGTGATGCTTCAGATTTCATTAGATATTCAAATATTACATTGAAAACATCCTGTAATGTCTGCAGGCATAAACCAACAGTATTAGTGGGTTTACAGGCGATTATTTCTTTCATGCAAATGTAGATCCGTTTTTTGTTAATAGCTCAAGAAAAATGTTCCTTTGTTTAGCCTGAAAAGTGTAATTTAAGATGTGCATTTCAATTTAAATACCATGTACAGTTGGCACCAGCAGTATTCCATAATAGCTCAGGCCTCCTTCAGTATGAGCAGCCTGAACGGCGACAGGAAGTGAAACCAAATGGGACGTTTCAGCGTGTGGTCTGAGCTGCTGCCGTCTTATTGGGAGCCGTGAGTCAGACCTCTCAATATCTCAAGAACAAAAACAGAAAATAAATACAAGAATTAATACATGTTTATTATGAAAAACATTTTGAATCGAATATCTCAAATTTCAGATTCCTCCGAGAGGACAGACTGAAAACAGAGACAGACCACACAGGGAGGAAGAACTCAGAGAGCACAGGCCACTACGTATAAATAACTTAAACAAATAAGAAGACAAACAGCTTCGGTTTAAAAAAAGAAGAAGAAAGAAAATGTTCATGGTTTATGGTTTGCCTTAATGCCTGCATTAAGAAAAGTGAGGGATGGACTTCATGTAAGGTGTTGAAATGGGTATAAATGGGTACAACTGGTGAGAATCCACACTGGCTGAGCGACACTGTGGTCACGTTCTCGTTACACGTTAGTCAGTTTGTCATTTACAGTCAAACCCATGGTGGTGGTTCTTCACTTGAGCATAGTGTTTAAATCGATAAAGATGTACTTCCCCACGTTTAGAGGATGAACTGCAGTCATTTTAAGGCTGAAAAGCTTCACTTATCGTCTTCGTGTCGTAATGCCTAAACAGCTTCACTGTCTTGCCTGTTCTTGTACTGATTCATATCCAACACTGTCCGTTTCCACTAAACCAGAAATGAAGATGTAACTCGTGGCACCATCTATATCCGCAGGAGGCATTACACATTCCTATCCTGCATCCAGCCTCATGATAACATCCTCACCACTGCTCCTGTGAAGGTAGAACAGCTGTAACCAACATTACATGCTCCCTCAGTCCCTCTACCAATCACCTCTTTCTAACTATTTAATGCCACTGTGTCGCATCTGCTGAACTTTCCAACCTAACAGCACCAAACTGAGGCCACGCTGCATAAATCCCCCACTTTGTGCAGTGCAAAAGAAAGCCTGCGTTCCACATTCTCATCCTAATGAGCACTGAGTCACAAGGCCAGCTGACTGATCTGAAAAGCTTTTCTCCAAAGTCTCCCAAATTTCTGTATGTAACGAGGTTGCCATGAGAACGTACATTAATCCAATGACGCCTCCCGTGTCGTGTCCAAATGTCAGGACCAACGTGTTTTGTTGATTTGGCTTTAGTTTGCCAGGAAAACCAGAAGTTGCATTTCGATTAAGAAAAGAGCCTTTTAGATTGTTTGCATCCTACGTTCTGAGTTTTCATTCTTTTTTTCACTTTTTATTTTAATTTAAACTAGCAACAACATTTCTTTACTGCAAAACTTCTTGTAAACGGTTACAAACGCACGGCTATCGATGTACAAAAAATAAAACAAATCAGTTTTCGCATTTTATGTTGAGCTCCATACAATTCTTAATAAGTCAGACTGAGAGGAAAGAAAGGCATGAACAAAAGGTTTTTCTTGGTTATAATAATTATAATAAAACCGTTGAGTGCACTAAATAGAAAACACACTGGAAAATGAAATAAGCTTCTAGTTGCAAAATATAAAAACATTTACGTTGCCTGACAACAGGGCTGGAGCCAATCCACATTCATGTATTATAGCAATAACCCAGGAAGTGGATTTCCTACAAAAACTTAGAAATAACATCAATAAAAGAGCACATGAACAATAAAAGCAACAAAAGTCTGCAAACCTCCCGAAGTTCTGGAGACATTTTTATACTTCTCAACTCAACTTTTCATGAAATAAAGCCGCTGCCGCTGGTTCATAACGAAGCTGAAAGATGAACAAAACGAATACATGTACAGAAGTGAAGAAGTAATATAAAAAGTAAACATCATGACTTTCACACAAACACAATGAAAAGGTAACAGAAGAGCGTTTCATCACACGAGTGCTGTAGCAGGACAGGCATGGGCGCCGTTTACAGCCTTGAATGAGGAGGACATCTGGGCAACCGACGGGTCGATGGACGGGTTCTAGGACTGAACCGGATCTGTGCCATCGGCGCTGCAGCCTGCTATGAGAGGATCCATTATTCATGTTTACGGCAATACAAACTTCTCTTTTTGGCTTCTTTGCTCGTAAATTAGCTGATTTCTATGTGAATATTAGCAGGAAGTCTCCACAATATTCACTTTATACAAGCTAATAGAAAACATCCTGTTTTCAGCTTTGCAGCGATGCATTTACCAGAACATCGACTTGCTTTTGAATGTGTTATTTAACTCATGAAATAGGACATCTTCCTAACCCACTAAGGAAGATGTAAAAATGAAAAAGTCTCCAATTGTCGAGGCATGTTTTTTTGGTTTTCGTTGCCGCTAAAAGCTAAAGTACGTTTGATTTTTTTGCTCAGATGTGCGCAGACGTTAAACATTAAGAGAGCAACGCTTAAAATCATCATAGGTGCATTTTTCTGCTCAAATGCATCCTTAAATTGACATTAGGAAAAATCTGAAACATGGAAATGTCCTTTAAGGACACAGAAGCGATAGCTTTGATGAAGCCAGTTATCCCTCATCCAAGCGCTGTAAAGGCTGCACAGGGAGCAACAAAGGACAAAGGTTTGGTTTCATGCATGAAGAAAAATCCAAGACTGATTGTTTCACATAGTGCAGAACCCCTCGGAAGACAATTAGAATAAAGCCCCGCCCCATCATTCCCCTTCCAGAGCCAAAGACGTAGGAAATGTCCCATCTTTGGGTTTGTTGCTACACAAGCTGTGATTCTACTGTAGCGGCTGTCTCATGTGTTTGAAGAGAGAATTACAAACTGATAAGAACAGCAAACACTTGTCAACCTGGTGAATAATTCTCTCTGGGTGCTTTCCGCTTATAAATGCAACTAAAGTTTGTCCCTCCTCTTTGATTCCCTCCCTCCCCTCTCCAGCAAAGTGAACTTTGGTCTCAGAAAACAGCAGGTTTCAGGAAGTGAGCTTGGTATAGCAGGGGTTAACAAAGAGCACGTTAGCAAATGTGAAGTGTTGCACAACGGGCACAATGCACAACTCTGTTTCCCACAAACTGTCAACACTTGACGTTTGCAGCCTGCTCTGCTGGTAAGCCCTGCCCGTGACCCTGAGCCACAATGATCTCTCTTTTATCTGCTCCTTCTAGTTTCTGCCTCTCCACCTCCTCCTCCCTCTATGAGTGACATCTACACCCCTTTACAACCCTTCTGCCTCTATTTTCAACATCTTGTATTAATAGAAAATATATTCTGGAACTTGAAACTACCCCCTATCCATCAAATCCTTTTAGACCTGGACAAAAAACATCAGAGCTTTTGAGTAGGGATGGCTGGATCTTTCCTTTATAGATATGAAGCTGTCATTTGACTTAAAAACAAAACAACAACTCTGGACGTTTAGCATATCATGCAACTGCTCATGCTCCATCCTGCCTTTAAATATATCCGTCTGCTTTTTGTCCAGGTCTTCTGTGTCCTTTATCCTTCTTTTCCACAGCTTCTATTCACTTTCAATTCAATCAATTCAGGACGTTTATTTTCTTCTACATTCAAATATTGGAAAAAAAAAAAAGTTTGGCATGTGGAAATGATCATATTAAACCTGTTAGGAGCTAATGGGGAACAGTTGGTCTACAATTGCGGTTTGGCTTGACGTTTTTCTGTTGATTGTGTTGAAAGCAAACGGCCTGCCGGCTCTGGTGTTCCTCCTCTTCCTCGTCCTCCTTCAGCGCATCTTGTGTTCCACGTCAGCGTTGGCCATGTTTGAGCCAGGGCTGGGGTCCTGCTGTCGTCTGGACTGGGGAGAGACAGGGATGGAAGGATGAAAGAGGACGAGAGGAGGATGGAGAGNCACACACACACACACACACACACACACACACACACACACACACACAAATGAAACACGTGCACACACACACACACAGGGTGGTTTAGTGCATGACAGTGTGATAGATGGTGAGAAGTGAAGGACACAGACCCTGTTCTTTCTGCTGGCTGTCTGTCTGTGTGTCATCAGTCCCAGATTTTAGAAACCACAGGGTCCTAAAAAAATAAACAATTTGGGTTCATTGGAAGGGCGTCAGCTTAGGAGGGATGCCACTGATCTCCCCAAAGCCTTGCTGGGAAAGTGAGTCTCAAGAAATTAAAATGCATTTGGGACGGTTTTAAAGTTGAAACTTACAGCATCTGAATTTGTGGATTAAAATTAAATTCTGCAGAAGGCACAGAAACAGAGTTTTTCTAGACTGCATGCAATTCAAGATCTTCGATTGAGTCACATTCAGGAGTTGCTGGATGTTCTGATTGCCATTGACATAAGACACAAAGTGAGTGAACTCCTTTCCCTTCTGAGGCTTTTGGGACACCTGACAATCATTCATTCAGTAATATCAAATCAAATCAATTATCAGATTAGATTTATTGTCAAACTGATCATGCACTAAACCTATGATTCAAACTGTAGCAATACTATGAAAACAGTAGTAAAAAACAAAACAAAAGCACACAAGCACACATCACACAGCCCTACGCCAGCCCAAGCACTAGCACAGGAAGACACTGGAAAGGCAGGCTGTAGCTTTAACAGGACGGCGTTACGTCTAAACATTTATAAGTACATCCCATCGCCATCACCAGATTGGGCTAAAAAAGTAGTTTTAACCCTGACCTGAAACAGAATCTCAAAGCATCTGGGACACATTTTGGTTGATGTTGAAACTAATAATATGCTAAATTTGGATTTGAACATTTAAAGAGCCAATTTTCTAACTGCGTTGCGAGCGAGACACTGAACTACAGCGAGCTGTGCTGTTGTCTGTGTGGAGTCTTGCAAAGCCAGCCCACAAATTAGAAATGTGACTTTGGTCCCTGTGGTCTGCTGAGGCACATGCAGGTACTGGACAACCCAGAGAAACCTTGACATGCAGCGCTGAACACGTGACTGGAAGTATGAGCCCCAAGCCTAACCCACTGCTCCAGTGACTCCACTGGTCAGCTACAGGTAAACCCACTGCTCNGGAGAGACAGGGATGGAAGGATGAAAGAGGACGAGAGGAGGATGGAGAGGGAGGTGGAAGCAGGAACAAAGAGGCAGAAAGACAATAAATTAAGTACAGGTGTTCAGACATTCACAAGGTGAACATATATTGAACCCGTCCAGGTTTTCTGAGCCGTCAGAATTCACATATTATTGAATGCTGTTCTTTATAACTTTCAGAATTGTACACAGACAGCTGATGATGGGTCAGAACACCTTTTTGCATGTAGAGGTGGTTCTAAAAGCTTTTGAGTCAACGTGACCAGACAAGCGTGTTTTAACACAAGTCACTGAGCTGCTCGTATCAAACGTGGCTCGTTCACTTGATAACGAGAAGCAGGAAACACGTCTTGTTCCACCTTCAGCGTCGTCACACCGGCGGCCCAAAACCTAAACATTCAGTAGAGCTACATATCTAACAATAAACAACATTCCTGGTTTCTAACCCTGATATTAAAATATTATATATATTATATAAACTGATGAGGTAAATTTGAAATGTCAAATCACATCAACAGCAGGATCCTCTAATTAAGATGCTGTTACAGATCCATCGTTATCAGCTATGAGCAGTGACTTTAATCACTGTTTTATGTAAAATGCTTTCTGTACAGCTGAAAAACGTTATCAGTGTTATGATTGCTAGTATTAATCGATGCTGTGTAGTCAAAGCGCTGCATGTGTTTGTTACTGACAGTCAGCGGCTGTGAGCCTTCAGTATTCACTACAAACAGTTTATATGCAGCCGTATCAGACTTTATTCACATGTAGGTTGACAGATCTACCACACGGGCACAATGTAACACTGTTCATTCACTGATTTGGATTTAAAAGGCACTGACGTCTCTATAACCGTTTAAATCTGTTCATTGTTGTGTTAAAACTAAAAAACAAAAGATTACGTTTGATTAAATGTGTGTTTCGATGCATCTGCTGTTCATCCCGTAACGGGGCTTCACTGCAGCTCAGGCTGTCAACAAAACACTCAAACATGCTCTGATTTTAGTCTCTCTGTTATTACGGTGTGTTATTGAGCTTTTATTGTGTGTTTATAGCTGCATGGGTGGAAAACACTCCTGGACAGATCTGGAGCTGCAACAAGAAGCTGCAGCCCCGAAGACTGTCACTAGAGGTCGCTGCAGAGCTTCAGGACGACAGAGCCGAGCTGCTGTTGTTAATACACTTTACTGATGTTGATATTTTAGTCAAGGTAGCTGGCAGACGGACAGACAGACGGGCAGACTGGCAGACATGCAGGCTGTCTGACCGATCAACACACAAACACAGCGGATCATTAGGTCATCAGGAGAAGCCCTCAGCATGACAAGACTTTAAAAATATGCCATGAGCGGCTGCAGTGTGTTTGTGATGCGGCGGCGTGACCTTCTCCGGCTGTAAAAGAATACCTGCGGTTCCATGTTTACGCTGAAGCGCTAGCCGAGGGAATTCAGACGGCTCGGGTGAGGCAGAGGTGAGAAAGTGCGAGGAGAGGTGAAGCAGAGAGCAGAGCAGACAGAAATGCAGACAGAGATAGTAAAGGGTTGCTTAGCACAAGTGGAATGTAGTTTGTGTCATCTCAGTGACTCACCATAATAGCAACACACACGCAGTCACATGCACACGCACACACACTATGTCATGCTACCATTTTGACTGCTCACAGCCACACCGACTCCAGCTCCCGTCACTCGTCCTCTGCTAAGCTTCTGCTGTTTAATCAGAGCTGCTGCCATCAAGTGTTCGTGTGCAGCTCAATCAGAACGGCTCGATTCTGGATCCCGGTGGAGTCACAACGAACTCGGCTCCTAACTGTTCAACACGGCACCATCGGTGCTTCCGTGTGTCATCAGCCTCCCTAGACATGGTTCTATTGGACTTGGACTGTGCAGCCCCATCCAAGAGACAGTGTGGTGTTAATGTAGGAGGCAGAACATGAGGTGGAGGTCCAGGTGGTGGCTGGGTGGGTGATGGGTTCAACTTTAGGGCCAACTGCAAACAAAGGAAACTGACTTTTTAAAACATGATGACAATCTTTCTGAAGCATTTACGCAGTGAATTAGATGCCAAAGCATGACGCCACACTAAAAGAACCGGTTCTGGATACTGAAGGGCCCATATTTTTCACATCTGAGTTCAGAATTGTATGTTTTGGGTCGAGCAGAACAGGTTGACCTGCTGTTTGCTTTAGAAGTTTGCAGGCCTACAATATGCACAAACAAAAGCTGTATAATATGTTAAACTGAAAAACCAAAAAGCACAATGCAGACTCTTTAACGAATGACCTCATAACGAGCTGGAAATGAGCTGCATGGCTCTGGTCTACCTGTCTGCCATGCCACCAGGTGGACAGAAATGTTAAACACACTTCTTGTTGTGTAGTTTGGGAGTTCACTGCCAAGACTGCTTCAGAAGCATTTCCAGGTTATTTTACTCTCCTGTTAAACGGTTCATTTTGTACTTCAAGCTGTTTGACTTGTGGGAGCTAACCTTGGTAGCATCACAGCTGTTTGTTTTTCTTTATCATCCCAACAGAAGCGGAGTCAAGACTTCAGACACGCTGACTTGTCGGTGCAGGAAAAGCACACAAGGAACTAAAACACGAGCAGTCCTCTGCAGCTGCTGTTGCGATGGCACGCAGCCGTCAGCAGTCTGATTAATTTAACCCTGTCTCTAGAAAATCACAAGCACTCGTGTTTTCTCTCTTAACAGTAACAGGACGGTGCATCACAGGGCCACCGACGTGAGGAAAGAGGCGTCGGTCTGCAACAGGAGACGAGGGTTCACATCCCATCGCAGAATCGTTCGTCGCCGTGTTTTAACTTATTGCTTGCTTCAGTTTCAGCAACAAAATGCTGTCAGGTGGTGAAGATGTGCTTCTTTCACCATCCTGTGTGAAGGTTTGCTCTATTTCTAGGTTTCCAGGGTTACAAGTCCCGCCCTGATATATGATTGGTTTTCCTGAAAAGGAGTGACAGCAAAGGAATCCAATTAGCTGCAACGACAGACTGACTAGAAAGGCTGTGATCACACACAACATGTACTCTGGGAGAAGTTTCCTTCAAAACACAGCTGAGGCTGTTGTTCACTTTCCAGGAGTGGTTTCGAGAGACAGGGCCGGATTAGTGACGCTTGTGTTTGACGAATCAAAAGGCCCGTTTAGCGCCAGTAAGTCCATTCAGATGGTGCACACGAACAAGGTTTAGCCGTGACAGAGAGCTCGAGTGCAGCGCTCGTCTTTGCAGAAGGAGTGGTCTTTGCTAATCACGCTTTTCTGTATTGATCCACACACAGATGGAAGCCTGTTGGGCCGCTATAGGCAGCTCAACCACAGCTCAATACCGGCCAAGTGAGGGCGTGTGTGTGTGTGTGTGTGTGTGTGTGTGTGTGTGTGTGTGTGTGTGTGT